CACATTGTGTCCATCCTTTCTTTAGCCACATCACACTTCTTTTCACTGCCTTCATTACCATCATGCAGATATGCTTATTCTCACTTCTGCTGACAAATTAATACTTTGATCAGCTCCGTTCCTGCATTGTAGCAGTAGCCTCCCACTTTTCCGAGTGGCAAGGACCACTCTTGCCAGTACCAGACCTTGCACCTCTAAGTGGGGAGGAGAGTCTCTACAGAAGCTGCAGCAAGGTTTGGACCCTGCTTCTTGTGCTGTTGAATGTTTTTGGCCACTGATTTGGAAAAAAACTCTCAGATCTTTTCCTTGTTGGATTACGAAGCATACTACAAAAGAGGGGTATAACCCCTTGTTTTATTTTTGGCATTTCCATGGTGCTTCATTTATGATAGACTTCTAACTTATACCCTCTGCATGCATAAAGTTTCAAAAGGTGATGTCCTGCTGGAATCCCCTACCAAGGGTTGTCTCTCACTCTTCATGTAATGCATGGTCAGCGCCCTCACACAACCCATCCTTGTGGGTCGGTTGACACTATCACACTGTTCTGAGTGCACAGCCCTTAATTACACTCTATGTATGATGACTTTTTTCTTTGCCACATTCCCACATGTATTTTGGTGGGGACACTTTCACAGAGCTTACTGCTCAGGTATAAGTTCTGGGTAAAGGTCAATATGTGCCGCTAAACAACTATTGATAAAGTGGTCCTCGGTGGTCTTCTTTTGAGAGCTTCACACCCACCTCATTCACTCAGTGATGTTGCTAATCTTCCCATGTGGGGCTGCACAGAAGCCAAAACAATAAAAATGAGATTATACTTACCTGTAACCATTGTTCATTGAATGGTCTTCTGCGCAGGCACACATCCCTCCCTCCTGCCCCACTGTGAACTCTCTGGAACTTTAGTTTTCTAGGGGTCTCAGGCGGCGGGATGGAGAGAACTGAGGGAGTAGCGCCCCTCCTCCTAGTCGTGTGAGTGTTTTGGCGGGAAAGTGCCAGGGGGAGGAAGGGAACTCCTAGTCTATTTAAAAGCTTGAAAATCTTTTCCGTGGCTGACCTGCAATTGCACAGTCCCCATGTGTGCCTGCACAGAAGACCACTCGATGAACAATGGTTACAGGTAAGTGCAACCTTATGCTTTTTTACTGGGGAATGCTGTCTTCTAGAAATACCACTTTTATGCCTTCTTTCTGTGTTTCAGAAAACTAAGGCGTGGAGATCCATTTGCAAATTCTGATTTCTTTAGCTGCCCCATCTATAAAACCAGAAAGAAGAAAATTACTAAATCTGAAGCCATTTCAAAGGAATCCATCTTAGATCCTGTTCCATGATCACTTAGGAAAGAAAAGTGGTAATAGTAATTTGTGTATAACTTGTGGATTACTGTTTTCTTTATACGGTGTACCTTGTGGATTACTGTTTTCTCTATAATGGCCGGGAAATATACTTAATAAAAGTATGTAATTTCGTTTTTTTTTTTAAAAAAACATTTTTACTTTGTTTGAAATGGGGGGGAAAGGAGTTGAATTTATTATTTATTTTACTTTTATCATGTTTGCTATTTGGAAAGAGATTGGTAATGTATTAAAAGGGGGGAAATTGGTGGTATTGTTTTTCTTGAATGGCAGCTAGGAATGTCTCTTTATGTCTTGTAGAAAAGAACAAGAGTCCAGTAACACCTTAAAGACTAACAAAATATGTGGCAGGGTATGAGCTTTCATGAGTCACTGCTCACTTCTTCAGATACCTAAAGTGAGCAGTGCCTCACGACAGCTGATACCCTGCCACACATTTTGTTAGTCTTTAAGGTGCTACTGGACTCTTGCTCTTTTCTACTGCTACAGACAAACACTGCTACCCATCTTGAACTATCTTTATGATTATCATTATTAGACCCATGTTTAGCAGCAATACTCCTGCAAACAGAACATGGAGTTATAGAACCAGGACCTATTTAAGCCCTAATGAGCTGACACATTAGGGAAAGTTGATGTTGGGGCAGATTCTAAGTCTTCCATTCAACCTGTGTGATTCTGAGCCTTGCCTGCATTATATTGGATGCTGGATACCTGGCTATAGGATGATGTAGCAGCAGCCAAGGCAAACTGAACAGCAAGGTTATTCGGCCCATGGACAATCTAGTATCTGGTTTAGTGCTACATATTGACAGTACTAGCTCTTGTGGTTAACAGGCTTCCAGCCTCACAGGCCAGAAAACTGAAAGAACCAATCTAAATAACCTTGGATTCAGGCTAGGGGTGTGTTAACAAAAAAAAAAGCCACTAGTTTTCGGGTTTGGGTAAATCAGACCCAAGAAATATTGGTAAATGCCGAATTTCCCCAGTAAAATACCGGTAAGGTATTCGGATTGGGGCTATATTTGGTATTAGCGAATATATTCGGTTCTGATATACACCACCTGAGGGAAAGGAGGTATGTTAGAATGCCTTCTTTCCTTCTGGTAGACCCTACAGATTTCCCTGTCAATTTCACTCTCGCCAGTCAGCTGGGAGTGAAATTGACAAAGGAAAGCCAGGCTTTCTGCCCTCACTTCTCTAGCTGACAGATAGTAGCTGGAAAAGGGCAAGCAGGGAACCTTGGTATGTTTACAATGCCTTTCTTTCTCTCCCCGATCTCAGAGAGGGAAAGAAAGGCATTTTAAACATGCCTGCTTCCCTTCCTGATCTCCAGGCGCCACATGGTTGCAGGGCACCTGGAGAAGATGGGGAAGGGAAGCAGGCATGTTTGCCTGCCTTCGGTGTCCCCAGCCTGCGCGCCTTGGCGGGCTGGCTGGGAAGACCGAGGTCAGCCAGGCAAACATGCCCTCTTCCTTCCCTGGGCCTCTCTGCTATTGCAGAGAGGCCCAGGGGAGGGGGCCATGTTTAAATGCCTTTCTTTCCCTCCCCAAAATCGGGGAGGGAAAGGAAGGCATTTAAACCCAACAGCTGACTGGCGGCTGAGCTGGCTGTTAGGTTTAATGAGACCTTTTTCATATAGAAAAATGAACCCCAAAAAAGCGTATAATTATCACTTTTTCAAGTTCAGCTATACCGGTAGCCGAATACAGAACTGTGATCTGTATTCCGCTTATGTGATACCTGAAAAATACTGACAGTGTTTTTCGGGTATTTTTTCGGTTCGGCTATAACTGAATGCACTCCCCGAGTATTGTGTTCAGTTTTGGGCACCACAACTTAAGAGGTACATAGGCAAGCTGTAACGTGTCCAGAGGGGAGCAACGAAGATGGTGAGGGGTCTGAAGACTGTCCTATGAGGAAAGGTTGAAGGAGCTGGGTATGTTTAGCCTGGAGAGAAGATGACTGAGAGATGATATGATAACCATCTTCAAGTACTTGAAGGGCTGTCATCTAGAGGATGGTGTGGAGTTGTTTTCTGTTGCCCCAGAAGGTCGGGCCAGAACAAACGGGTTGAAATTAAATCAGAAGAGTTTTTGGCTAAGCATTAGGAAGAACCTCCTGACAGAGCGTTTCCACAGTGGAACAGACTTCCTTGGGAAGTGGTGGGCTCTCCTTCTTTGGAGGTTTTCAAACAGAGGCTAGATGGCCATCTGACAGCAGTGTGGATTCTGTGAACCCAGGCAAATCACGAGAGGGAGGGAAGGACAGGTTGTCTTAGTGCTTAATTCTTGTGGCCCTTTTTCACACACCCAGGAAAATGCTGATTGCCACTATGGGGTCAGGAAGCAATCCTGGAGGTTTTTTGTCATCTTCTGGGCTTGGAACAGTGGTCACTGCAAGTATAGAGGGGGGAGGTATTTGTGAATTTCCTGCATTGTGCAGGGGGTTGGACTAGGTGACCCTGGAGGTCCCTTCCAACTCTATGATTCTATTACACTTGGAGAGATCTCCCTTTACAGTTCTAACAGATGGGGGGGGGGGGAAGAGAAAGCCAAACAGTACAGCTTGCATTCTTTATTAGAGGAAAGGAGGAAGTAGCACCTTAATGACTAACAAAGTTAGCAGCAGGGTAGGAGCTTTCATGAGTCACTGCTCAATTCTTCAGATACAGCTAGAATGTGAGTCCTTCTGTCCTTGGAGAGTGAAGTGATTTCAAATGCCAAATGGCAATAGCAGGGATCAGTAGTGAGAGAAGAAACCTAGGTCTCAATTCAGTCCAGGAGGATGCATTGTCTTAAGCTTCATTATCACTTGCAATTCAGCAGTCTCTCTTTCTAGAACTGCTACTCTTAGGTCAGCAAGATTAAAATGTTCCCCCACTGGGTTTTGAATGTTGTTAATAACAGTAGAAATATTAAGAGTCCAGTAGCACCTTATAGACTAACAAAATTTGTGGTAGGGTATGTGCTTTCATGAGTCACTGCTCTTCTTCAGACTTATTTATATTTATACTTTGCATCTTCCTGGGCTGAATCCTCCTGTACCAAATTGAGACCTACCCTAGGTTTCTGTCTCATTACCAATATTAATATCTCCACACCTACTACCCTTCTGCACATCACACCTAATCCAATCATGTCTGCTATTGCCATCTGAAATCGACTTTATAAAGTTTATATCTCCAATACCTCGTGTAACATTTTATGGCACATATGGCTTGGCCAAGTGACACTTATGTCAGATCTGGCCCTCATAACAAATGAGTTCAGCACCTCTAGGCTAAACTAAACAATTGTGGGAAAACCATGGTTGTATTTCCATGTTGCAAAATTACAGGGGCCACGAGCGGCTATTCCGCATGTGGGGGGTGGGGAAGGTACAGTCTGGATCAATTTATTATCTATTTGTTCAGTTGAGAAGGATTACAAAAATACCAGTCTTGGTTAAGGTCACATTATGTGCAAAACAAACTCACAAAAACCTTTTATTTATGCTTAGACTCAAACATATCGACAAACTTTCCTAAGCCATTTTATTCCTTGCAGCATTCTCTGCCAAAAAAGGAGAGTGCAAGTCAATGGCTTTTACTTTTTACAAACTCAATGCTTTCCCTTTAAAGGTTTGTAATAAAGAGCTTGATCTAGAACACAGACAGGTATTTTTATGTCATCATAAACCAGATGTGCACACTACTTAAAACTGCTAAAATAGGGTCAACTGCATGCTTTCACCTGGTGTCTTTAATCAGGGTTATTATTGTAGCAATTAATTAGTCACAGCCCAGGTTTTACATGGCTTTCAACTATCTCATACACCAATAATGATTAATTTTCAGGGATAAAAAGCTTTGAACAGAAGATATCAGATACTGAATTAGCTAGGCACCATTAAGCAGGAATTCCTATGACAAACACAAATAGTATAATATGTAAATTACTTAAACATTTAAAATTATTATTATTGATACCATTGTCTGGCATTGCCCTTTATATCAGCAAGCCAAAACTCTAAAGCTGATAGTGGAATGAGTAAAGTTATGTGTCTGAAACATTTACTTGCCACAAAAGATAGTATTTTGTTATACTACACAGCCAAAGAATAGTCCAGCTGTACAGAAAATATTTGCGAGCTAGAGCCTGCAAACATGACTTTGTCTTAACATGAGCAAGTGGAGAACTTACAGATTCCAGTCTTCAGTGAATATTTTACAATCTGGAGAAATGTGAGTTTAGCAAGCAGATTTTGCTAGGAAACCAAACACAGAGCGTAAACCTGAGTTGTTGAATTAAGTGATTTCTTTTGTTTTTACAGAATATATTTACATGATGGAGAGTCAGCTGGGCAAATATGTTTTTTTAAAAAAAATAATAATGAAGCGAACCATTTTAAGGAGGTCATTGGTCTGGATGGCCATGTGAAAATCCATGCTTTTTCTCAGTAATTTTAAAACTGTTCTTGGCATCTGGGACAATGCAGGTAAGTAAACGTGAAAGAGGAGCAGTTGCAAGACCTAGAACGAGATGAAGTCACAATCAATAGTATATTACTTATAGGATTTGTATATGATTTGTTATAGCCCTGAAAACATACTAAACACAAACAAAATAGTCAAGCACAACAGGCCTAGCTTTTGCTACTGCAGACCAACCTAGCTGTTGGTTTCATAAATACACCTGTACTTTGATTTGGGATTCTGGATTTGCAATCTGTTTAAAACAACTTGCTGATCACGAAGTTCTATCACTGTATCTAACAGTAAACCAGGTGGTCCTTAAACCCACAAAATTGGGCCACATACTTGGGGAACTTTATAGGTGGATGCTGAATAGTATCTGTCTAAATTAAATTAGCCTGATGAGGACTGAATATGCACCAGGAACAGCTGAGCAACTTTTGAAAGAAAGAGCAGGGGGGGGGGGGGGGGGAGCCTGCTTAAGCCTCCAGGAGCTTTGAAAAGATCTCCAAATTGTTCTCTCCCCCATCCCAGATCCTCCTGGGCCCCCAAACACTATGGGTGGGTGGGTGGCCAGTGCTCTCAATAACAAAATATTAATAAAAAAACTGTTCATGTTTTCACAGTGTACCTTGTGTGATTTGCAGCAAGGTGAGGATATGACATAAATAGGAATTGCCAACTGCAGAAGCCCATAAGCCAAATTTGGCCTGTGAAGAACTCCCTGCTCCACCACTCCTGGTCAAGGATGCCTCCACCCACCCCCATACAGCTAGGCACCTAGTTGCTTTCTACCAGATGAGAGATGAAGAAAGGACTAATTCTCTTTTTTACCCAGCAAAGGCTCAGAAATCTTCCTTGATGCACCCCAGCTGTGTGCTTCAATAACACAAGCTAGTGAGCTCAATAAATGAGTAGTGCTTTACTTACAGGATAGAACTTCTTCTAAGTTTCAGTTGTTGGCCAGGGTACTACAATGTGACATGTGAATAATCTGACCAGTGGCTGTTACATTAAACCCTTCAACTACTTTCTAAACATGGAGATTAAAAAACAGTTTGAGTGGAGAGCTGTTGAAACTGACTTTACATTACTGTTGGATTGGGTCAGCTGTTTCAGTCCATTTCCTCCTACGGCTGAACATGGCTTTTGTCCATCTTGGTCTGTCCCATGAGCCACAGCACAGTCTTTTTGAAGTGACCGAAGGGAATCCTTTCCCCCTTTTTACAAGCAGAAAAGCTGGTTGGATTGAATCCAACCCACCATCTTTAAATTGCTTATTGTTACAAATTTGCTTGTACAAATTATACAGTGCTTGACAAAGTGATTGCTTATTGTTACAAATTTGCTTGTACAACAGAACTATATACAGTGCTTGACAAAGTGATCTTTTTCAGGCTTTGTCATCACTGAAACACTTACCGGCAGGCGCAAGGGATTTCAGTGCTTCTAAAAGATGAGGGCTAGAAAACGTGACCAAGCATCTAAATGGTTCCTTGTCGTTTAAGATGCCCAGTTCTGGTTTACTTTTGAATACTGTCTCAAGCTGAAAGCCAAAGTAATCAATTACTGTGATATATACTTTCTATTTGATCACTATTAAAGCTAGAAATCTGAAAAATTATTATTTGGCAATACATGGTTATATGCTAGATCAGTGGTTCCCAACCTAGGGGCTAAAAATCCCTAGGGGTGCATGGGGTTACCGCGAGGAATCTGCAAAATCTATATGCATACTAAGCATTCTCATTTTGATCTTTTTGTCATTATGTATTTTCTCAACGAACAGATACTAGTAGGACAACTACTATCGTGAAGACATCCACAAATATTTTATGTTAAAAAGGGGGCCGCATACTCAAAGAGGTTGGGAACCACTGTGCTAGATACTGACTGGTCCATCAGCTGGCTCTTTTTCTTTAAGCCCTCCCCTCCTGTTTTGTGTCATCTACATATTTGCATATCTGTATATATTTTTAGCAAAATATCTGTTCTCTTGATATAGTCATTCCCCTACAAAACCAGATTGATTTGTGAAGAAGTTAGGTTGCCTAAATTCATTTATATCAGGCAAGTGTTGACTGGTAGGGATGGGATTAGTTTTATTTGTTTAAACCAGTCCATTTTTAACCAGCTGTTTCTCCAAAGAGCTGTGGATAGCATACAGTGGTCTCCCATTTTATCTTCACAACTACCCTATGATAGATTAGGTTGACAGTGCGTGACTGGCACAAGGTCACCCAACATACTTCAGAATGTGGATCTGAACCTGGGATTCCCAGGTATTAGTCAACACAATGCTGTTGTAAATAATTAAAATCACTATCAGGTGCGTAGCCACATTAGTCTTTAGCAGTAGAACAAAATACAAGTCTAGTAGCCCCTTAAAAGAACAACAAAATTTTGCAGGGTATAAGCTTTCCTGAGTCAAAGCTCACTTTAGGGGACTCAAATTTTGTTCCAATTAAAATCAATATATATGTATTATAGTATAGAGAAAATACCGACCAAAACTTTTCCCTCTCCCTTTTAAGTCAGCTTCAGCAGTTTTAGCTTGATTTTGCACTTCGACATACAGTGTGTGAGAAGGATGTAGAACCAACAGCATATGGCATTATTTCCTCCTATGCTTAATTTTAGTGTTTAGAAATAAGCTGTGTATATCATTCTAAAGAAAAATACGCCATCATAATAATTTTGATTACTATACAATTCTATAGAACATATATTTTTATTTATATAATCTCTAAGACTTATTTAATGGTGACAGTAATCATACCAAACCGGTATAAGAATGTGAAAAGGAAGTCAAGAGTGCCCCCACATGGCAGACAGTTCTAAATGCTTAACATGCATGATTTTTCATTCACATCATTAAAAGAAGTACAGCTTTCTGCGGTAATTCTGAATTTCACAGTTGATGTAACTAAGTATAAATTCTAATTTGTCTATGTGATATTACTAGCTAGTGCAGGAATGATATCACACTTAGCATCACGTTGAGTAGGTTTGCTAGGTCTCCAGCTATGGTAGGAGACTTCCTGGCAAACTTCCCCTATTTGCTTACTGGCTCCTCAAAGGCCAGAGGAAAAAGATTAGGGGAAATCAATTTAACCAGAATGTTTCGGCAAATCCTAGAGCATCCCCTCACATCATGTGTGTGCTTGTACCTGCCTCCCCAAATCTTCATTGGGATCTGAAGTGGTAGCCTGGCATCCCTAACATTTGGGCTGTAGCATCAGACCATATTTTGAATTTCAAGGCCATGATCCAATAGCTAAATGGAATTTCACCATTCTATATACTGAAAAATAACTGTAGCCTGGTTTCAGAAAATGGAAAGTAATCCAGTGTTCTGCATACCTACTCTGGAGCCTCTGTTTAGACTTTCATATCTCCTATATGAGCATTGCCCTGACATGGATGGCACAAGGCTAGCTCAGTCTCATCTGACCTTAGAAACCAAGCAAGGCCGGTCCTGGTTAGTACTTGGATGGGAGACCACCAAGGACGTCTAGGAACACTCTGCAGAGGCAGGCAATGGCAAATTACCCCTGTTTGTCTCTTGCCTTCAAAACCCTATGGGGGTCACCATAAGTCAGCTGTGACTTGATGGCACTTTCTACCACCACCACATGTGCAATATTTATTTTAAAAATCTTTGTATTCCACCTTCTGACCTATTGCGACAATATGCATTCATGTAATTTTTTTTACCTTGTATTGCGCATATTGTAGTTTTGGCAGGGATCCATTTCCGAAGTCCTCCTCATTAATTCTCCAAATGGTCTCCTTTTTGTTTTTATCTTCTTGAATTATCCTTGGGTCCACTAGAAGGCACAGAACTATTTAAGCCCTCATGTAAAACATTAATTTTATCCTTTTTGAAGTGACAGGCAGTAATGGCCACAGAATTAGGCCTACATGCTTAAATTTGCTGATTTCATGTGAATAACTTTGCATTGGATTACTACACAAACAGTCTTATTAAAATGAAAGGCTTGCATCAGAAAAAGCTATGAGCTTTCAGCTATGAATTGGAAATGTTGTCAGTCAAATATAATTGAGTGTTGCTGGGAGGTATGTCATTGCATATGCTAATTTCCTTGCAGTCTGGAGGACCATGGGATCAATGTGGTCAGCCTACTTTTAGCATTGGCCAGAAACAAAAATCTCAACATTTAATGATGTTTTGGTTTAAAGCTCTGTATAGTGAGGTGGTATAGATACCCTTTCCCAAAGCGCTGTTCCTTTCCTGTAGAGGTCGCGGATGAAAATTCTGAACATTCTGGGGGAGAGAGAGAGAGAAGGCCAGGTCTTTAAGTTAGTATAGTTTCTTTTATAATGTAAGAAACAATGTCCAGACTTCATTAAATATTTTTTTAAGATATGTCCTGAGGCATTTTGTCTTTAAAAGCAAACAGAAGCTTGTAATGGCCAGTCTCAATGGAAGAATGAGCCTATCTGTGCCAAACTGGCATTTGGAAGCAGAAAATGAAATATTCAAAATTGCTGCATTGTTAGTTTAGAAAGGTGAGTTTGCCTTGGTAACAATGGCACAGTGTTGTAAAAAGCCAATTTGCTATTCAGTTCTAGAATTAAAGAATACCCCCGAAAAGCAATGCAATGAGTGGGTGGGGGACTCAGTGTCTGGCCCTGTACTACTGTAATGTGCTTTCTTGGAAGGAGACAACTTCCCCACCTTTTGGGAAGTTTAGAGGCAGGCCTAAACAATGAAAACTGGAGATGTGGCTCACCTGGTTACACCGCTTAAATACAATATCTTTGAGGGAGTCTAAACAACGGCTTCGAAGGTCCATTTCGTGGATTTCACTGTAACTGGTAGCAGCCAACAGGGCCTTCAAATGAAAATGGATGCAGTTTTTACCACACATTGCTACTCTTCAACAGAATATTACAGCTTGTAAGAGGTGGCGTTAGTACTTAACTGAGCTTGAAACTATGTTTCATTTCCTTTTAGAATGCACTTAATCTATATTTCTAATAGTGATGTGTGGCTCCCATCTGTGGATAGCTAAATCTGCAGACCAGGGCCACACAGTCCCTAAACAGATTTTTCAGTAAACTTGGGGGACTCCCCAGGTTTGCAGAAAAATGTGAAATAAAAACAAAACAAAACACTATAATTGGGGCGTAATTCCCCCCAAAGTACAGTACAGCAGAGCACAGAGAATGCATTTATCTCCAGCATTCATCGGTTGGACTGGGGAGCCCCACTGGGTTTAGTGGTGGTGGCGGCGCAACAAGAGAGCCCTTCTGGGTCCAGGGGCTGCACAGCTCAAAAGCCTTACTGGGCCTGGGAGGCCTGCTGGGCCCAGCAACAGTGGCCACACAGCCCAGCGAAGCCCCTGAGTTGCACTGGGCCTGGGACCAAAGTGTGGGTGGGGTGTGGGAATACCCCCTACAAGTATTGCAGGCCCACACTTGTATTCAAGAATATTTAAATGTTCAGATCACAGAACTGCATAGGCTAATAACTTTTCAAGATAACCAAACATTAATGTCCACTGCGATTGTCTTTTCCCATTGATACATACAAGTTCAGAAAATTATTTTGAAAATGACATTAACAGATCTTTGCCTTCTAAGTATGTTTACCTGAAAAAGCATATCTCTGCAGCTTTTATATATGGAATGGGAAATAAAGACATAAGGAGTCTGCGAATGGTAAACAACATAGGTTGGCTTGTACTGGTTTGGTTTTTTAAACTGTGTTCCCCACGCAACTCGAATCCACACTGAATTGTCTTCATATTTCTTAAAGGTGATAGTGACCTGAATTAAGAAAAAATCATTAAAAAGAAGCAAAATTACATATTTTAGTAATAGGATGATCTGATAACATAAAGCAACTCACAAATAAAGATCACTGCAGGCAGAACACTTTTAAAAAACTTGTGACTTCTAATTGTTTTATATTTAGACTAGGGAGCAAAGCCTGTTGTGGAGGGAGACAACCGGCGCCTAGACAGGTTGGGTGGGTGAGTGAAGGAAGGGGGGAGGGAGAAAGCTTCCCCTGCCTGTCCGGCTGGGCGGGCGGGTTGGCGAAGGGGGTGGGTGGGAGAGAGAGAAAGTGGGGGGGGGGAGAGAGAGGACAGAAGGACCTGAAGGACATGGTGCTGTGGAGGTTGCTGGGCACTGACTTCGACTCCAACTTCATGGCAGTGAATGCGCCCGAGGAGCGCCTGGGCGGCTGCAACAACCTAGCCAAGCTGCACCTGCTGCTGCGGCAGAGGGCGTCGGGGGCCATGGCCAGCGATATCAAGGGCATGGAGTTCCAAGATGGCGGCGGCCAGCAAGAAGCACCGGCTGAGCAAGAAGCTGCACCGGAAGCTGCAGCTGTGGCCGCAGACCTTCTGCCCGGTGCTCTACACGTGGAACGACCTCGGCAGCCGCTTCTGCCGCCGCTACGTGAAAGTGGCCAGCTGCTTCAGCAAGCGCCCGTGCTCCATGCCGGAAGGGATGGTTTGCTAGCGGGCCAAGTCGCTGCATTTGACCATTTTGCGGTGGAGGTGCCAGCGGCGCGGGGGGCAGCGCTGCACATGGATCCCTATCCAGTACCCCATCATTGCCGAGTGTAAATGCTCCTGCTAGGGGGGCCAGAGAACCACTTGTCCGCACTTAACGCCCCCCCCAAGAAAAACTGCGGGTCCCATATTTAATCGTACCCCGCCCAGATGCCCAGGACACAACAGAAAACAAAATGACACGGGTGGAGTTTGACACAGTCAAAGATCCCGACAACTTGGTTGCCTGATCCAGACGTTACACTGTACTGTCACGTGTAGGAGAATGTACTTTGAGCTTTGCGAGTGTGCGTGACAGACTGGTTGCGTGCATGGGTGCATGTCGATTAAATATAGCCTCCTATTAAAAAGGTCAGTGTTACAACGTGAACTCTTTCTCGTCCACTGTATTTGTGAGAGTCTTCGTCGCCTTAATCACGCCTAGCTCCTTCTCCACCGACGCTGTATATTGCAGAGAGAAAGGGGGGGGGGGAGAGAACTGTTCGCTTTTTTGCGAAGTGGGTTTTGTTTTTTTTAAAAAAATGGAACGGGAACATTTTCTCTCCGCTGCGTGAAGCTGCGTCTGAGGTGGGACTTACACGACATGGCCAATGGAAGCTGGGGAAGACTTTGACGGACAGTTCAGCCGTCGAAACACTGTTGGTGCGCATTTTCTCTCCGCTGCGTAACTCTGCGTCTTATTCAATTATATATATAAGGGAGAGATTATATCAGAAAGGCTGGATGATAAATAACTCAGTTGTTTTAAAGAACTGTAAACACACTTGTATTTCAGTTTGGTTCTTACATTTTTCAGAAGCAACTGAAGGCTGGTTTTAAATTTGTTTTTGAAATCTACCATGTTGAAAATGATATTTTCGTCACCTGGCAAAAAACCCCAAAACAAAACAAACATAAAATGTTTACATCACACAAAACAGCAATCTTGCTACAGTACTCATTAATAGTTAATTTGTTCTCCATACTTTATTTCAGGCATTATCACAGCAATGAGTCTTAACAGTTTCAGCATTAATAATTTGAAGTCCTAGAGTAGAGATGTGAAGGCCTGGAAAAAACCCAGAAAAACTAGGGGGAAAAAACGGTTTTTTTCCTGAAGCCTTTTTTGTTTTTTTTCCAAAAAATTGGAAAAATTGAAAGAAAAGAAAAGAAAAAAAACTGATTATGGAACATTTTATTTTAACATGATGAATAAAATGTTTTAAGACAAGGTGTTCAAATATTTTCCAAATCATTTCTAATATATATATATGGTATCAGATTGATCCAATTTCTGTGCACTGAGGACAAGCAAGTCCTAGGTTACAAACTGAACTCTCCAATGCAAGAACAAGATGCATTTTTTCCTTTAGGAGGAGCTATTGTCAGAAGAAAATAAAAAGGTTTCAGTTTTGTTTTTGCATGTGGGTGGGTATTCTGTTTGTAATAATTGTTTGGATACACTATATTTTTAATATGCTAGTTGTGATAATTTCATGCCAAGTAAAAAATTTATGTTCCTAAAGTAACAGAATGACTTTCAATCTAGAAAAGACAAAAGAAATGCTAATGTAGCATTTTTTTAATGTTTCTGAAAAAAACTGGGGGGAAAACGGGTTTTTTCCCAAGCTTCAAAATTTCCGGAAATTTTACATCTCTATCCTAGAGACATCTCACTAAACTAAGTGCTGAAGAACCAAAAGTCTGCACAAAAAGCAAGTTGTGTAATAGTCATCATAACGGAATCTAGTGAATTCTTGCACACATGAGAGAAAACAGGCCTACAGAATACTGCATATGGGGAATGTTACATGATACATGTTGATTAGTATAATGGGATGGATCCCAAGATCTGTGAGCAGAAGATGCTGATGATCTCCCCTCACCCCAGCGATTTCCAATTCTGGAAATGTTTATTCCTGGGATGTGGAACATGTATGAAGTAATAGCCACTGAGGTCAGGAGCAATGTTCCCTCTAAGCTGTGGAGTCTTGTGAGCAAAAATTCTGCTTTGAGAGCTACCAACAGTAAAGTTGTGAGCGAGCGATTTGGCTACAGTGTAAATTAGTTTGGTCTGGAGTCATCCTTCCTGAGTGAAGGTGAAAATCTGTGACCGGAGGCTAAAAAACTGTGAGCTAGCTCACCCTAACTCAGCTTAGAGGGAACACTGGCTCAGGAGGATGCAGTGTGGAGAGGGAATAGAACAAAATTGCTTCCTCCTGCTTCTTGTATAAGCAGATAGAAGAGGGAAGCACTTTCACCCCCTTCCGCAATGCGGTCTCCTTACCTACGTGGCTATGATCCATGTGGTTCCTGCGATCTCAAGGATAAACTTTTTCCAGGTCAGAAATTACTCCTGGGGAAAGGGGAAATCTGAAAAGATTGATGATCTTGCAAAGTCATTGTATATTGGATCCATTCCAGACTCAAACCTGGTTATAGGCTAAGATATGAGAAAGTCTATGAATAAGTTGTTATTAGCAGCAGAGATGCTGGAGGAAAGCGTTTCCCACAAAAAGGTGCCCATTACAACCAAAAAGAGGTGACACATTGCAAGAAACTGAATAATCAAGACAGTGGCATTGGTAACCTGCTGTGCTGTGATAGTTAAAGCCCACTTTAATATTTTTAAGCTCTACAGGAATAGACAACTTTTAAACAGACAATTGTGAATACTTACCACCTTCTCTAGTCATCTTGTAAACTGTCCAGGTTTTTTTATCTCTATATGTGTAATTATCTGAGGGGGAAATATTGGACAATAAGTACTACTGAAACTAACTCAGGGCTTATTTACACAGTCAAGACATTCAAAACATATGAATTACAATTAAAACAATTTTAAAACCAACTAAAACCATCTAATGTCATAAAGTGCTAGTAGTCATCTATTATTTAGAATTCAAACCTGTGTCAGACAATCAAACTTGCATTTAACTAGCAAAGTGTATAATATGCAAATTACCAAAACTCTAACCCTAGGTACTCAGGATTGGAACCAGGCTAAATTTTCCAATGGCAGAATGGTAATTTCTTGCCTCTCCCATCCCACTGATCTCTGTAAAATGCTGCTCCTGGGGGATAGAGGCCCCTGAGGAATGACAGGAGGGGCCTGAATCCATTCCACTGACTTGCAAGTAAATCCCAGTTAGGCCAGTGATTCTTATTTATAAGTAAACAAGTAGAGGATCAGGCTTGTAAAGGGATCTCTCCTTCTCTTTTTTGTGTGTGAAGTGCCGTCAAGTCACAGTTATGACAATCTCTTGGCAAATGAAAGGGATCCACAACTGAATATTACTTAAAAGGCGAAACTAGTCTTATTTCCATCATATGAAATTACGCAGGAAGCAAAATACCAGAAACATGAATCTCTTCAAGAAGTTCTGATGGTTTATCCTAACTTTAACCAGTTTAGTTTAAACATCACAAAAGGTCTTTCCCTCAGAATAATTAGCTATGTCATCACTTAAAACAGAGAAACCAACATCTTACTTACAAATGATGTCTAGATTTGCTGCATGCTTGATCGTTGCACCATTTTCCTTAAAGACAATACGAACAGCGTATGAAGTCTTATCTAGGTTTTTATACAATGTTTTAATCCAAGTTAAAGCAACATTATGTTTTCATTAAAATGAAGTTTTTCAAGTTTTGACCTTTCCTAAATATGTTACACTACAGATGAAGCAGTAATTTGACTTGTCAGAGTGTCCACAAAATGTCCACAAAAGCTTAGCTAGAATGTCAAAGGATGGCTGCTTATTTAACCCTAGTTATCAATTTGCAAGGCAGAGCTTGTACAATCAAATGTTATATGTTTTCTATGACAGCTGTTTTTTGGAAAGGGAAGAACACTACTTTTATAAATTCTACAAGGTTTCATACATGTTACTCTTCGCCTTTTATTAAAAAGGAGCAATTGTTGACAGATTTTCTTTTTAAAGGAGCAATTCTCAGTTCCAAACCCTGGTTTAGGAAGAAATTCCTATTCTTACTCCCCTGCCCCTACCTTTTTTTTTTCTGGGCAAGTTTTCATAGGAATAAGGTGCCAGTTACACAATTTTAGAATTATTTGCTACAGACAGCTCCACTCCACCCATCTCAACACCAATAAGGCCCACCCAGTCTTGCCCCCCATTTTCTACACCCTAAGGCTGTCTTCCTCCCCTTTTTCATACTTTGCCTCACTTCCCGCTTTGCATTCTTGTCCTAGCTGCCACCAGGATTGCCCAGGCCAAGGCTTCGTTGCTAGGTAACCCCACAGTGTTGATCATAATCTCACAAGATCTCAGTGAGCATTGTCCAATTTGGGGTAATTTCAACCCCTTCCTGCCCCCCCCATGTTTTTCTGCAAGCCTTTTCCCAGGTCAGCAGAAACACGCCCTTCTCGGGACAAGGGATCATTATGTGAACATTTTATCTGCATTTTTGGCCATATTTATTATTATTATTATTTATTAATTTCGATTTCTATCCTGCCTTGCCATGATCAATGTTTTTAAAGATATCTAACAAAAATACATATTTTGTTCTCACCTCACAAAGTTGAACTACTTCTCGGGACAGATTCTCTTTTATCTGATGTAAGTTTATAGACTGAAGCTGATTCTCAGAAAGGAACCCCCATGTAGTCAGCATTTTTCCTATTTCTGAACGTGGTATTCGTAGTACAGTTCTCCTGATGTATTCAGCTACTATTTCATCCATAATGAAGGCACTTCAAAACAAAATAGGGATTAAAGTCTTCCAAGGACTACTTCTTATGATACTTTTTATATTTGGACACCCCAGTTTATAGCAGCAGTAAAACATAAGTTTAATGGTAAGTATTATTAGGCAAAGAACTGAACATAAACAGCACAGATTACAGTATCATTATAAATGTGCTGCACCCATATTTGGAATAGCATACAATTTGGGATGCCCCACTCCTACAGTTATCAGAGAGCTAAAACATGTATGAAAAAGAGCAATATAAAAGAGCAAATAAAATTATCACAGGATTCCTAGAAGCTGGAGATAAAAGTGTATGAGGATATTAAGTTTAAAAAAATAGGAGGGTCAGGGGACATTGCAGATGTTTACTAAGCTACGAATACTGTGGACAGAAACATTTTTCTTTATGCTACGTTTCCATAATATTACAAGCTCAGGGTCATCCAGCTGACAGTATATTCTGATCAGAAAAAAGTGACAACTACGCTATATAATACAAACTTTCAGAAGTCACTGTCACACAAGATAAGGTGATGACCACTAGCGTATAGTTTTTAGAAAAAGACTGAAGAAAATAACAGCTAAACAGATTTTTTAATGTGTAGAGGCAGCACCTCTCTAGACACCAGAGGTCAAATAAAAGGGTAGGCTTGCTCGCAAGCTTCCTGGGAAAAACCCCTCTTTTTATTTTGTTTGTGTAGTTCTGCAAAAGCATCCTGTAGGTCATAACATTTATTTATAACAGTCAACCAATTGCCGTTCCCTGGTCAGACATACATCAGATTTCTTCAGGTTTCACATCTCCATCTCTAGAAAATTACCGTAAGTGCCTTTACTGAGAGAGGAGCCATCTGGAACATACACATAATAGCAGCCCCTCACCTCCTTCCTAGGTAAAAATACGTTAGTGAACATGTTTGCACAGTTATTCAGTGTACTTTGCATGTACTACTTTACACAGAAGTGTCAATGTGTACTTTCTGCATGCCACACTACCAGTTGACCCCATTGATTACAACGGGATTTACTGGCGAGTAAAGCCGTCGCCGAGGCGTCACCTTACGCACCTCAAAGACCCCCCGCCGGCCGAGGAGGCGCGCACTCGCGCCAGCTGGCTGCCAACTCACCTAAACGGAAAGAGCCCGCCGATGCCGCGATCTCTCGGCCACTTTCCTCCCCTCAGAATCACTCCCGTCAAGAACACGTCGGGCCTCCCGCCAACCGTCTCGAGCGCCCAGCCATTGCCTCGGCTTCGAAACAACCAATCGGCGCCGGCGGCGGCTCCAACCAGCCAATCGCTGCGCCAGTAGAGCCACGCACCACTTGCGGTTGCGCAGTAAAAGCCCTCTCTTCCCCCAGGCGGCTAGTGACTCTTCTCTTGTCATCCTTCGATTTTACTCTGTCGCCAGGGCCGGCCCGAGGTGGTCCTGCGCTCTAGGCGTGCGCAGATGCCAACCTCCCGGCGGGGCCTGGAAACCTGGCTGGCTGTCGGGGGGGGGGCCCTCCTCCCCCCAGCTCAGCCGCGCCCCGCTGGCCGCCAGCCTAGCCAGGGAGCAGGTAAGGCAGCTGCCCGGCCGCACCACTCTCTTCCCCCCCAACACCACAAACAGCAGCGGCGGTGGCGGGCCAGGGGGGGAGGTGTGCCTTGCCTGCCCCCCCTCCAAACCACGCACCCACGTGTCCGGCTCGGGACACACACAAGGCCGAGGACGGGGAGCCAGGGCGAGAGCAGCAGAAGCTGGCGGAGGAAGCAGGCTTTGCTTCCCACGCTACTGCAGCGACATCACTGGGGAGGGAAAGGGACCGGCGGCGTGGAGGACGGAGGCGAGGGGCAGGCATTTCCAACGCCGGGTGATTAATTTCGGCCAGCCTCGCTTTTTGGGGGGGAGGAGCCGGAGCAGCTGAGGCGGGGAGGCACATGTGACCAACACGCACTCCAGGAA